TAGGGGTTTTTTATTTGTGTTTTTTTTTGTTGTTTTTTTTATTCCTCACCTGAGGATATTTTTTCCCTTTGATTTTTAGACTGGGTAGAAGGGAGGAGGAGAGACAGAGAGAGAAACATCGATGTGAGAGAGACACATCGATTGGTTGCCTCCTGAATGCACCCCAACCGAGGCCATGGATCTAGCCTGCAACCGAGTTTCGTGCCCTTGATGGGAATCAAGCCCAGGACCTTCAGTCTGCAACCACTGAGCAAAACCAACCAGGGCATATATAATAGTTTTAATTTTACATTAAGGAAGATCTTCTATTGAATATATCTGGACCTCCAACAGAAATCAGCTGAGGTTCATATAAAAACAAAGTTAATAAAGCTTTCCATTCAACTGATGGTCAAACATTTATTGTCTGCCATGTGACAATAACTGCTAAATGTTATAGGAAATAAAAAGTTAAAGATAACTTTCCCTAGAGGATGTCACACTGTAATGGAGATGACCTTAACTAATTACTCAAAGTAATACTAGCTCTATATTAATTTAATAAAACATTAAAATAATGAAAGATGCTTCATTTGTCCAATATTGATAATTAAAGACCATGGAAAGGGAAAGATGTACAGGAGAATAATTGGCAGAGAAAAACGAGTAAGACAGTTAATGATATTCTAGAAAATATACACCTGCTAGCCATGTTCCCAGTTACAAAATATAACATGAACTAGCACACAAAAGAAGTAATGCCCTTTGATTCTGGAAACATGGTTAAATGTTAAGATTTAAAGTATTTTTCATAAGTTATAGGATTAATGAAATTTTCTGTTCTCAGTAATTATTTTTATGGTAGGAGGTGAGGTTTACTGTGCTTCTGAAGAAATATACCCATCGTTTGCCTTTTTATAGCTTGTTCATGTTTACAACCATATGGCAGAGGAAATAGTGCCTGTTGAGCATTGATCTTGAAGCCAGATGGAATTAGGCCCACAGTCACATTAAACTTAGAAGATCAATGCCTCCCTCATCCCATTCTTAGCACTTTGTTCTTTACTACCTTATGTTTTAAGAATATTTTAAACTTGTGATCTTTTATATAATCTTTTGAAAGCCCATTCATTTTAAGACATTTGTGATAGCTGATAAAATTGTTTTTTATTTTAAGGGAAATGGCAACCACTTTTGCTCGCCTTTGCCAACAAGTTGATATTACACAAAAACATCTGGAAGAAGAAATTGCTAGATTTTCCAAAGAGATAGATCAATTGGAGGAAATACAAAATAATTCAAAGCTTTTAAGGTACTTAAAGCATTTTTTTCTCAATAATATGAACATTTATTAGTCTCATTACCAAAATGTAATTATGTAAATCACTAGTGATTATATTAAAACTTTAGCTTTCTGATGGCTTAAATTATAATGTTCCATAGTTTTAAAATTTCAGTGAATGCTAATTTCAACAAGAAGAAACATCTGATGTAAATGGATGCTTTTAGATGTCAACTTCAAACTCTCTGTTAAACTATATTAGTCACTTTTGAGAGTACAAGTTCTGTAATTAAAAGTATCACTTTTTAGTCCTGTATCTCCAAGACTCATAACTTCCGTTTCACTGGGGAATATTAAATTCAAAGCTATAAAAGTAAAAAAAAACAAAAACACACCACATAATATAATGCGGAATTCTTGTTTAATATGGTTTCTCATGGATTCTTCAGGGGTCTAAATCAATTCTGTTTTAGGGAACAAGTTTCACCATGTGGTCTCTACTTCTTGGCAGTTAACAACTTTCCACTTCATTACCCATTTGCTGGTTTATGTATGAGTCTGAGGGAATCATTAAGCATCATTTAGTCCCTACTGCTACTTACCTGGGTACTTACTAAATACAATTGCCCATATAAGAGCAGTCTGTAATGTCTGCAAATTGGAGAGGCTGTCTTTGGGTCCTGAATTTTGAGACGTCTATTTAAAGCACGTGTGGTCATGTCTCTCCATGGTTTCCCACTCTGACAGCAGGCACACTCTCAGTGTGCCTCAGTCTCAGACTCCAGAGAAGATGACTGCCTATCCCTTAGGCACCAGCCTCCTTTCTCACAACCAGTCACACCCAAGTGCTCCATTGCTCCCATTTCAAGTTAGATCTTCCCAAAGACAACCTTTCAAAGTTGGTAAAACTATATGCAGTAGAAGTTTTTTTGTTTTTTAACCTAGGGAGGTTTTTAAATAGTTTCGTCTTGTCATAGCAGAACATAAATGACAAAACAGATAATTGACACTTATGTACTTTTCTGATTTTGGCTGGACTGACTTGAATAAGTATGAATATTTTCGATCTACTAATTCATCCTTTTATAAGAGGAAAATAAAAAAAAAATATATATATATATCACTAGAGGCCCTATGCACAAAATTCGTGCAAGACTAGGCCTTCCTTCCCCTGGCTGCTGGTAACAGCTTCCCTCTGGCACCCGGGACCTGGGCTTCCCTTGCAGCCCCGGCTTCTTCGGAAGGACATCTGGTCTAATTAGCATATTACACTTTTATTATTATAGATAGTTGGAATCTCCATTGTTACTGGATCAGGCTCAGCCATTGAGATAGAACTTACTAGTTTTTCAGGAGAGTGGTTCGAAGAAATATACAGTAGAATTCATATACATCTAACTTATATGACCTCAAGCATGTGCACGCAACAAGACAAGACCAAGATAAAAAGAAAGGGAGAAGCTCATTCAAGTATGTGTGTGTGCTCTGGCACAGTATGAGAATGGAAGAATGAATCTGTGTTCCTTGGTCAATTTTAGGTCCAGTTTTCCTTCTTTTATGGACAGTTGGCAATCAAATACGATTCTAGTATTTAAAAAAAATTCTTTTGGTATACCATGGTCCATATATAAAACCACTTATTCTGTTCTTGATGCTTAAAGGAAATTCAAGGACAGTTATAACTGTACGTCACTTAGGCTTTGACTCCCATGAAAGGCGATAGGACTCCCGTTTTCTACGCTTTTTAATAATTCTTTTAAGTCCTGAGCATTGGACTCTGTTTGCTGCAGAGCTGTAGTAGCACATATAAGTACTCTTAAAAGGGTATTTATAGTGTAGCCTGAGTTCAGGTAAATGTAGCAGCAGTTGGCTAGTATTGTTGCATGTGTGTTTTTTACTTTTTAAGATTGGATGGAATGCATTTTTAAATTGACCTTAATGATTTTGGTGTTTTGTTCGTGTTTTGTTTTTGTTTTTTAATTAGAAATAAAGCTGTTCGACTTAAAAATGAGCTGGAGAATTTTACTAAGCAGTTTCTACATTCAAGCAATGAAGAAGAATCTTAACAATAGAAATCGCTTCGGTGATCATCATAGGAGAAAATGCAGCTTGGATGATTTGGGACAGTTATTTTTATGAAATGGTTTTAAATATGAATTGTATTCACTATACCTAAATAGCAAATTCTTGTGTAGATTCTGGTAATGATCTATCTCAGGGTGTTTGCATTTCTGAAGAGTATTATTATATCTCTTAATTTAATTCTGGGTAAAGAACAGGCTAAGTTGTTTGATGTGGTAAGGTGATGAATTAGTTAAGAACAGCAGAACCAACTATGTGACCCCTGAGGGGTGGGGCCTTACTCTTGATTAGGGCTCTCTTCGTTTTTGCTTCTGAAACTCAGCTTCCTGGCATCCAGGAGTTAGAGAATGCTCTTTCTTCTCAAAACTAATTTTTGATGTCACTTTAATGGGGATAGTCACTTTTTTGTTTTATACCTGCATTGTTTTAACCACCAAAAAGGAGTGTGTAATGTTCTTGAGTGTATTATCTTGTGAGTTACAGTCATTTTTGCCATTCTGGCAGGTATGTAAACCACTAATAAATAAGCTGTTGTTTACTCCTTATATTCCCATTAAAACTAACGTAAAGCAATATAAAGGTTAGTTATTCTAAAAGTATCTGGGTTGAAATAGCTTCCTGATGTTTATAGAGAAACATTTTCAGCTTCAGCTATGAGTACAGTAAGGGAAGTTAAGTTTTAGAAGTTTGAAGTGATAAAAATAGCCAGATGGGAGGTCTGAATTCTGAGTGGTTACAGTCATGTAAAAATTCTGTTCTTCAGAAGGTATTTGTTGAGGATACTGATGAATTGTCCTCCTGTGGTGGCTTTACTTTTATTTAATTGTATGAATTTGCCAGGGCATGGTTAAAAATTATCACTGTATTTTTTAGTTTAATGAAATGTTTATGGATTCAAGTATTGTGTGTGTTTGTGTTAAAAACTAATTGAAACTTACATGGAAATGTTAAAAAAAATGACATTCTAGGGCTTTGTTATGCAAAGGGAGCCTTGACCACCAGATCATTTTCAGTCCCCCTAGGTGCTTGTGAGACAGCAAGGAGGACACAGTGCTGCTTTTCCAGAGGGATAACGTTTCAGGCTCCTTTCTTCTTTCAATACTCAGTGCTTCCTTTTCTGTGCCTTTAAGGCTCCTGGATGCCGTTCTGTCTTTTCACAGCTGGTGCAACAACACTATTTTTCAGGCTATTTTAAAGAGAATATTATGTAGGCCATAAGCCTTTCAAAAATATATTTTTATGCCAATCAGATACTAGGATGCCAAATTTGCAATAAATATTAATTTATAGTTTTTGTTGTTGCTTTATAACCAAAATTGGTACAGGCCACCAATAAGTGTGGATCAGGTAACACCTGCAGCATGAAAACTTGATGTCTAAAGTTACAAGCTCTGGTTCTTAAATTTATACAAAGTACTTGAAATTTTGAAACAGCATAGTGGTTTGGTATCGCCTCATTAGTATACTACTATGGCTCTCAAAGCTTGGATCAACAGTATCACTTGTCAACATGTAAGAGGTACACATTCTTGATCCTACCCCAGACCACTAGATCTGGGGGCCAGCACTCTTGTAAGAAGCCTTTCAGGTCATCCTGATGCATGCTAATATTTGGGAAGTCCAGGAATTGTGATTCTGGTATATAAGTTTGTAGTAAGTTTTCCATCACCAGTTTGAATGCATTCCACCTAATCAAGTTTGAAAATCTATATGAATGTTGGAAATGGACACTAAAATAATGAGACCCAACCTTTATGCCTAGAGGTAAGTGCACCTATGACCCAGCCCGTGAATTCTACAGAAATCATGTAAGTTACACCTGATGTAATTCAGAGTTCTTGTTCACTATGTGTTTGCAGATTAATTTATAAACTTTGTATAACCTCAAACTTTTTACAAAACTACATTTTTAAAATAAGTATGCAAACTTGCAAGGTGAGAATAAAACTTTTGTCTGATAGTTGATAAATGTAGCATTTATACTGGCATTTAGTGAGTCTTGCTCCTAATTTTATGGTAGGTATATAAACTGTCTTGGGCAGACTGGTTCATCTTTTGATTGGATTTACTCATTTAGCATGCCTGGTCATATATTGGAAGTTTCCTCATTAATCCTCCCTCAAGGCTGTGGTTATGAAAATAAAAACTTAAATTCTAGCCCTGACAAGTTTGGTTCAGTGGATGGCACTTCACTATGGGTTCAGTTCCTCAAGGACACATGTCCAGTTTGTCCACTCCATCCCCAGTAGGGGGCAAGCAGGAGGCAGCCTATCAATGATTCGCTTTCATCATTGATGTTTCTGTCTCTCTCTTTCCTTTCCTTTCTGAAATCAATAAGAATGTTTTTTAAAAAAAACACCTTAAAATCCTATAAGCAATGGAATTATCCAAAGGGAGTTCGAGGGAAAGAATGACTTAATTTTGCTTTTTTATGACAATTTGTGGTCCTTTTAAGGGTAAGCTAACATAGTACTAAAGGAGTACTACGATCTCTTGCTCTGGAAGATCATTACAAATCTATAATAATAAAAGCATAATATGCTAATTAGACTGGACAGCCATTCAGAAGACCTTCCGGATGAAGCCAGGGCTGCAAGGGAAGCCGGTGCCGGCAGCCAGGGGAAGGCAAGCCTACTCTTGCGCGAGTTTCATGCATCGGGCCTCCAGTATTTAGATAAAGGACATATTGGGCTTGTAGTTTAGGTCTGGGACTTAATGTTGAAATCTAAATTTGACTTAAAATATACCACATGAAATCTGGTTAAAGTACTTTATTGATTACAATATCATTTCACAGCCAACATTATTTCACAGAGCTACTGTACAAATACAGGAATGAATCACTGTGCAAGAAAGATCCAAGAATACTGTTAAATTGTGGAACAAATCCATCTTTCGTTTGGTTTAAAGCTTGTACAAGAGCTTTAATCTAGTACATTCACCTCTCCCATAGCTGTGCTACTGAGATCCCAAGTCAATTGGCCACAAGTGTGTCAAAACCATTCTAAGTGAAAAAAAAACATTTTAATCAAACTTTGAAAAACCCACTTAAATGTGAATGCCTTTGAATAAGAATATGCAAATGCTTCTTTGCAAAGAAAACAAAAGGATAGAGCACCATTGTGTGACACATCAAAGGCTGGAAGTACCAAGTATATCTCCAAGGTTCTATTAACTAAGAAATAAATATTGTATGATTTTTTGTCAGGCACATTGAACACCAGTTAGAATACAACCTTGTTTTTTTTCATAATGCTGCACTCTCTTTTATAGGGTAATTGGATTAAGAAAAAAAAAGACAGGAAATTTTATCAACATGCAGACAAATTAGCTAAATACAAGTTGTACCTTTACTCTTTAAAACAGTGCTAAGACATTCAAATACAAACCATTTTCATGAGTACCTATGGTAACCAATATTTTTAAAAACACTAAATTTAAGGCAACTAAAATTGAATGAAGGAAGAACTAGCAAGTATAAAGTACTTTACATTCTACTTAATCAAATTTAAAATGCCAATTTTATCATTGTGCTACCTTTCCTCACAAGAAAGACAGTTTAGCTTGTGGGTCTTAAAAATTCTAACAGGATGGGAGAAAGTTTAAAATTTTGCTTTCCACAATGGCGAAAAGGGAACTAGAAGCTGAACATAGTAATTAAAAAAAAAATTTCTTTAAGCCTGACTCACACCCTAAAGACTCTAGAAAAATAAAAAATAAAAATCGTAGAAAGGAAATTATTAAAATAAGCTTTTGGGAGGTTGTTTAATCAGTTTGTATACATTTACTATTATATACATCAACAAATAAGTGACAAGTATTCAATTTTGTTAGTTTTTAAAAAATATATTTTATTGATTTGAGAGGAGTAGAGAGGGAAATAGAAACATCAGTGATGAGAGAATCATGTATCAGCTGCATCCTGCACGCCTCCTACTGGGGATTAAGCCCACAATCCAGCCATGTGCCTGACCAGGAATCGAACTGTGACCTCCTGGTTCATAGGTCAATGTTCAATCACTGAGCCACACTGGCGGGGCTTGTTAAAGTTTTATAATGTGGTACATTCACAGTGTTCAAAGCATAAGCTTCCCTGAAGGTTTTTGCTTTTAAAATGGTCAGTCGGTATTAAATCTAAGACCTCAAAAATGCCAGGAAAAGTCAATTATATAATATTTCACAGTATCTTTTTTAACAGTAATAAAATTTCACTTTCTCACCTGGATAAGTCAAGATCCATCAAGGTTAACTTTTAAATTGCTTACCCCATACTCCAGAAGCATCTATAATCCATTATGTCTAGCAGACTACACTTTTGTCACATAGTATTCATCAGTTCAGCTGAATCTAAATTAAAAAGAACTGCTTGCTATTATCTTATAGTTGAAATATTAAGACCAAATCTTTGCCTCTATGAAGATGGAACTCAGTATGGTATGTGTAACCTTGGAGTCATAGGTATAGAAATATGAGCTAGGGAGGGACCTAACTCATGGTAGCAAGAAGTCCTTTCTTGAGCAGGTTTTTGGGTGATTTAATCACATGCTAGGTCACTATTTTAGAAAAGAATGTATGCCTTTAAAATACTATTTTTAAAAAGTTCTTGTTAAATCTCTAAAAACAACTTTATGGGGTGATTAGAGAGTCTACAAATAAAACCTGTTTCTTATAAGATAAAAAGAAAAATAGGGGTTAGCTAACTCCAATATACTTTGTTTTTTAATCCTCACCTGATTATATTTTTCCCATTGATTTTTTTAGAGAAGGGGGTGTGGGAGAGAGAAATATCAACGTGAGAGAGATATCGATTGGTTGCCTCCTGCACATGCCCCAACAGGGGCCGAGACCAACCTGCAACCAAGGTATGTGCCCTAGTCCAGGAATCGAACCCGTGACCCTTTGGTTGGCGGGCCAACGCTCCAACCCCTGAGCCAAACCAGCCATATTCTTGATAATACAAATTCTTTAAAACTACATTTGGCCATATTTTTTAAATATACAAAAACTAAGATTCAAACTACAGTGTTTCTACAGATTATATATTGTCTTTTTTTTTTACTTCAGGAAGTCTCAGGAAAACAGAATTAAACAATCAGCTGAACTTGAACTGCAAGTAAATATATTTAGCAACTGGAATCCATATTACTAGAAAGCAAAAGCTTAGTAAGTTAATGTGGTAAGGAGTTAACCATTTGGTCATGTGTAATTAGCCACAATCTTAGTAGGTTTCAGTTACCTGGTACATATTTAATTATGGGAATTGATTTTCAACTATCCACATAAACTGACAGTAAAATAAATCATTTTTATCCACATGTTTAAGACCATAGAACTATAGTTTGTGTGCCTCTCACTAAAGTTCCTAGAATAACTTTTAGAGGGGATACGCTCTCTACACAAGGCTATTTTGCACATGGCAGAAGTGCTAAAGATTTTGGAATGAATTGCTGAATTACATGGCAAACCCTCACCCCCTTTTGGAAATGAATATATTGCTTTAAAATACTCTTGCCTAATCTCAAAGAGCTGCTCTTTATGAAGTGATATAGTCCACAAGTAGTAATAGCAAAAAGTTCATAGAAATGCATGTATAAATGAATATACGTTCATGCCTGCCATCTACAAGTATGTTTTTTTGGCCCCATATCTTAATCTTCCTTTATTCATTTTATTCTCTTTTTAATATCAACTGATGTTAAAACTGACTTCAATATAGTTGGTGCACTTCCTAGCACATTCACAAAAATGAGAACTGACATAAAAAATGGGAATATTTAGGATTCCAGGTGATCAAAAGTTAACAGAGACCTATCTCAACAGTGATAGTTTATTGATTTAACAAAACAGTGCACTTCTATAATGTATCAGGATAAACCATGACTTCACCATCAAGCAAGACTAACAATCTTCCCATGTCAGTCATTTAGATTTATTTGTAGGAGAAAATCCAAGGGGGAGAGTATCTTTGTTTAAATCCAGGAGGGCTCATTCTAGTAATAGACAACATTTTATTATACCATTGACAAGCAGAGGAATGAATTGCTTAGTATTTTCCTCTCCTTTAAGTACTTACTCTTGGAATTTTCCTTTTGGCTTTAAAATGGAGCCACTTGGACCTAGCCATTCTTCAAAGCAGAGCCACGCCACTTAGAAACCAATATTTTGTGTGAAGGAAAATGTTACAGAAGAGCAGAGCTTTAATGTTTCCTTTTTAAAATTTGACAGTTTACATCAATTCAGATTTCATATGTGTGAACATAAATTCATGAAGCCACCCTGTCACAACTATAACTACTCAGATCTCGTGACTGGTTAGATTTTACACTTTTCAAAAACAATACTGTCCTATTTCCTTAGATCTAGATGCATACTGATAGAACACTAGGAAAAGTTCTTCAGGCGCAAGGACAATCCAAGTGTTCATCCATGTCCTGGAATAATGAGTATACAAACTCAATTCTAGAATATGAAACCAACTATTTAGAGGATTACTCATGCGGAGTGTTATTTGATCATAATCTGCTTTTTAAAATGCCAAGAATCATTTATATGAGATTATTGCTGTCTTCCTATTAATAAAGTTTCTTACATATGTCTAAAGTTTCAGAGTGAAATCTCTATCCCCTACCCTTCAGATTATCTTCCCCTCAAAGGACTGAAAATGAGCACTTATTTAAATTGATAGGAAGGCAAAGGATGCACCAAGAAACCAATGATACTCAAAAGGGCTCTCCTCAGGCACCTACCTGTCAGCATTCTTAATACAGTAAGCCACCAGGATCTGTTAGATCAAAAAGGGAGGTCAGAACTCAAGGAGACTCTTCAAACCTAAGGACAGACACATGGCATTACCTCCATCCATTACTGTGCCTGTTGCCTCCATTACAGAAATAAAAAATGTGACATATCTGGTGTATACAAGTTTAAAATGAAGTTCATAAATGAAAGCAATCAAACATGATAGGTTGCTATAATGTGTACATTTTGTTCTACACAAAGAAAACAATTGGTGAAAGTAAAACTTCGAGGTTAAATGAGCTCAATGCACTGGTCCTTTTGATCTCAGCAAGCACCTTTGCCTTGTTTTTTTTATCCTTTTCTGTTTTGTAGTTTACTGAAATCTTCCTTTTGTGTGTAGTAATCTCAATAGAAAAATTTTCAACAGCAAATATTAGAATTTTTTTGTCACAGCTATAGGCTGTAGCACTGATTTCTCCAGATACCAACAGAGAACAGCAAAATTGTATGCACTGTTAATTCCAGATTCTAAGAAAACTGTCCCAAGAGCCTGTTGCCACAGCCATGCCATCGTCAGTTACACCCAGACAGCTGACCCGGTTGTCATGACCAGCAAGGACACCTGAAAAACAAAGTCCAGTAAATAGCAACGGCAAGTTTTAAATTCAAGCATATGTTTAAAAATGTAGAAAACACACATTTTGGTTTTGTTATGGATGCTAATTGATTCAACCCAGGCAAAACACCTAATACTTCCAAAAAGTAATTGGCTTTGGGCAACAGAAAGCTCCAAGATGCAAACTCTGAACTTCTCTACAATGTCTTAAGAGAGGTTGTAGAAAATTATCCCTGGGAATGTTCATGTTGTACTTTTACTCCCTCAGAAACCTCAAGAACTGTTTAGGAATTTAAAAGGGTAAGGACAAAAACCCACAAAGACGATAAGAGAATGAAAGCAGGCAATGGCTACAAAGCTGGATGGTGGGGGCTGTCTTAGTGGACCTTAAAATGCTCAGTTCATAGCAAATGGTCTGGTAAGCCAAGAAACAAAATTACACTGCAGAACCTCCCAAAGGGTCAGGTCCTAGTGAGCCCCGTCATCTCCCGAACCAGGTGGCGGCAAAGATGGGGTAAACTAAGATGCCAGAAAGTGTTCAGGAATCGGGCTTCCCAGGTGTCCTGCACTGCAGAGCCAGGTGACTCCAGCGTGCACCAAGTCATGAGGGCTATAGAACAGTGGTTCTCAACCTTCTGGCCCTTTAAATACAGTTCCTCATGTTGTGACCCAACCATAAAATTATTTTCGTTGCTACTTCATAACTGTAATGTTGCTACTGTTATGAATCGTGATGTAAATATCTGATATGCAGGGTGGTCTTAGGCGACCCCTGTGAAAGGGTCGTTCGACTGCCAAAGGGGTCATGACCCACAAGTTGAGAACCGCTGCTGTAGAGACTTATTTGCTAGAGAGTAAAGAAGAGTCTCTTAACGAAGAAAACAGGCCCAGGTGAGATTGGTGAAACTGCTGAAAATGGGGAATAAAGAAAGTTGACTTGCTAACTGTTTTCCCACCCAGCTTTCCTCCTGAAATCAGCCCTAAACTGGCAGCCAGTTTATCGATTCCAGAGAGAAAAGTGGAAAATCCATCTCAGAGAACATGGCCACAATGACCATGAATAAGAAGAGCTGGGCTGCCATTCCCTAGATCCAGGTTATCCAGGAGCCTCCAACAACAGTCAGGAACCTTTCATGTTCCCTGACAAAACCCAAACGTAATGTGGACGTAGGTACTAACCTGCACGATCTCCTTTTAGTGTGTCCCACACGTTACAATTGAAGTCGTCATAACCAGCTAACAGGAGACGCCCACTTTTTGAGAAGGCTACGGAAGTGATCCCACAGATAATATTATCATGAGAATACAATAATAACTCTTGGTCTGCACGAAGGTCAAAGAGACGGCAAGTGGCATCATCGGAGCCGGTGGCAAAGGCATAGCCATTTGGAAAAAACTAGAAAGAAAAGCAATAAACGTATTCCATGGACATGTACAAAAACCATGTGAGACAGTGTAATAAACAGGCTCTGGGGGAAAACAGACCTAGATTCAAATTCCAACCTGGCTTCTTACCGGTGAGTGCTGTTGGGCACTAAAGATTCTTCAACACTTTGGGCCTTAGTTTCAGTTTTAGAGTGTGGGTTAAAATTGAATGAAATAACATATGCCAAGTACACAGTCTATTGTTTAACACATAGCAAGTAATTCAGTAAATATTAGCTCTGGTCCTCCATATGTCTTATTAAAATATTTAAATATAAATATTACTATTTACAGAATTTATATATGTGTACTCTTTTATTTTTTTAATCCTCCCTTGAGGATGTGTTTTTACTGATTTTTAGAGAAAGGAAGGATAGGGAGCAAAACATCAATGTGAGAGCAGAACATCAGTCAGCTGCCTCCTGCACACTTCCTACCTGGGATGGAGCCCACACCCTGGGTCTATGCCCTGACTAGGAATCAAACCCACAACCTCTTGGTACACAAGATGCACCTAACCAACTGAGCCATACTGGCCAGGGCTGGGTTTTCTTTTCTTATTTAAATCAAAATCCTACTATCTGGGAATTCAATGTCATAAGAGCCCATTATTTATAAGAACTTATAAATTGTAAGAATCC